ATTTGAGAAGAAAAATGTTAGACCATACAAAAACATGAATCTTATGTAGGCGTGATTGTCCCTATATGTGTAGTATGGTATTCCTATTGCAAACATGCCTAGTGCCATGAAAAAAAAGCCAATTATTTGGATTTTGACTCTCCCAACTCGATCAATAAAATAAACAGTTGCATAATAGCCGGGGATTGTGGAACAGATTGCTATAATTGCTTGGAGTTTTGCATACTGAAAGGCGTCTTCAAATACATTTACTTCCCTTCATTTTGCCAAAAACTATTCCGGGCCCACATTGAAAAATAATATTCCTAGTATATGCTGCAACTTAAACGACTAGGGTTGTAAACGAGTCGATTGAAAGTCAAGGCTTGAATAAAAAATGGTTCAAGCTTTTTTAGCTGGAAGTCTAGAATATAGTAGGGTCAAAAGTCAACCCGAAAAATCAAGACTTAACTCGACCTTTCAACTCAGGACTTTGTAGAGTTGGGCCCAGCCTACTCAGTTTTTTATTTATTTAATTTTAATATCATGATATTTGAATTTTTTAACAATGTAAATTATGTGCAATTTATATTAATTTGAAAATTTGAATTTTTTTTAACAGCTACAAAAGCAGCAGTAGCTGCCCGATATAATTATGCGTATATTATGTGCTAAAATTAGTGACAAATACGGAATTTTGGATTCCAATTTTATAGATGTTATAAATGTAGCATTTTACACATGCTTAATAATAAAAATTTACAATTGATTGGTGGAACAATAGTAAATGAATGAGAATACAAAATAAAGGATTTCTGTTAAATTATGTTTCAATTTTTAGCACTTTAATGTATGTACCTTTTGTTTTTAGTGTTTTCTCTATTCTTAGTTTTAGTCAGTATTGAATACTGATTTGATACATTCCACATTATTGTTAAAAACAAAAATGAAAATTTGAGTATGCTATGAAAATACTTTTTTACAACTCAACGAGTCTATGACATAGGGCGGTCAAGCCACACGACACGGCTCAGGCTAAAGCCGTTGTAAAAAAATTAGGCTTGGCCCAAGCCTTGGCTTGGTTCCACCAAGTCGAGAGTCTAGTCGGCTGGGACTTTTTACGGGCCGAACCATTAACCATTCGAGTCAATGAGCCAAATTGATATCCTCATAAACAAAATAGAGAAGAAAATGAGCTTTCTAAATTGGAATTTTCATTTTTTTTAATGAAAAAGAAATTTGTAGAAGAGAGTAAAATTGATTAACATGTATGATCTCGATGAATTTATATAATTCACCAATTTGAATATAAGAACTTGTTTGGGTTGTCTGTTTATAACCTACTGAAATTATTAATTGATATAATGAGTAGTGGATAACTGGTTACTAATATTAAGGCCCTGTTTGATAGGGAGAAGTTCCATGGAAAATGGAACTTCATTTCCATCTTCCACAAATTATAGGTGTTTGATAGTAAAATAATTTCATGGAATTCACTTTCCAAACATTTCTCTCATGCTTCCAGCATTTGAAGGAATTGATTTTCCCACCTATATGGGGGGAAAGTGAATTCCAATTTTTTTTTTTTGGCAATGGAAATAAATTTTAGGAACAATTGTAAAAGAAGATATCCCTCAAATTGACAATTTTCATATAAAACAAAGTCAAACGAACACCAAAATATAGATGATTTTTTTTTTGTTTTTTTTTTGTCAAGAGAAACAAATTTTATCTCAATACTAGTGAATTTTATCTCTTTAATTGACAATTTTCATATAAAATAAAATCAAACGAACACCAAAAAATATTTTTATTTCAACATTTTTCACGTAGAAAATTATACCAATCAAACACAATAAATTGACAATTACCAGGAAAATAATTTTTAGGCAATTCAATTCCGTAAAATTCGTTTTCTTTCCATCCAAATTTTATTTTTGTAATCAAACGGACCCTAACTTCTATGATATATACTTATAAATAAAGTTTGCCTAATTTAAATTAGGAATTAAGAAAATCCAAACATGCATTAAATTAGAGAACAATATATAGAAATGCATGCACAAATTGATACGGGAAGATACCTTAAATGATATTCATAAACCTTTCACATCATAATTCAAGAAGAAGAAATATAATAGTAAGGCTATAATATATAAGTTAAATTGCACCCCAAGATCTCAAACCTTTTTAAAAAATATCGTGAAATTTCAAACCATTCATTTGCGGGCGAAGTCCCAACTCTTAAATAAATGACCTTCATTTGACCATTATTTCCTGATGCTCTCTTTATATTTGGTTAATTAAAACAATTTTAAAAAATTAAAAAAAATGCATATCTTCTACTCCCATGTCACCATTACCTACGCTAACCCCAACCTAACGTCATCACCTCGTCCTCGCCATCATAAAATTGCGATTGGAAGAGGGAAAATCCTCATTGATTTCAAGGGTACCAAGGAGAAAAACTTCGATGTGACGGTCACATCATTCTACGTGATGCGACCGTCGAAAGGAGAGTCACCAATTTATCGAATGATCCACTCTTATCCAATGAAGTGCCACCTCAAAACTTAATTTTTTCTCTCTTTCCATCTCAAGTCCCGATGTGATCTCATCTTATTAGGTGAGGACAAATCACCCAATGAGATGGTGGCTCCTCATTCGACGATCACACCATGTAGGACGATGCTATTTTGCCACCAAAATTTTTCTCAAAACCAGGGGATATTTCTCCCCCATTTCTTGAAACTATCAGCGTACGTTAGCTAGTCTCTAAAATAGTTGGTCTATTGGCCAATCAGTTGCTTGAGAGGATGTAAATGGAGTACCTAATACACTTGCCTTATTGGCCACCCAATAGCTTAGGCCATCTTCAACTCTACACCAAATTTTACATCATTTTGCACCAAATTTTGCACTAAATTTTGCACCAAACCAAAATTCTTCTCCAACCATTACACCAAAATTTACACCAAATGAACAGTGATTTATTATTTTATTCATTCTTTTGATTTTTGACAATATATTTATTTTAAAATATTATTTATTTATTTATTTTATAACTATATATATTACTAAATCATAACTTCATTAAATTAAAAAATATATTGATTACTATATTATCACATGTCATATATATTATGTTAAATTGACAAAAATAATTGATTATATTATTAATTTATGATAAACAATTACGTTAAATTTACAAAAATAATAAACTTTAATAATATAAACTTTACATTAAATTTAATTTTAAACGTAAACTTTACGAATTTAACTTTACGTTAAATTAACAATTACGTTAATTATTATTGATTATATTATTAAAAATAATAAACTTTAATAATATAATTAATAGTGTAATTAATTAAGTAATTATTATTATTATCAT